CTACTAGGTATGTTTGAGTCCTGGCTGTTTCAAAGGTTTCTTTCTCACCTCCCAACAGGTTCACATCTGTTTCTTACAAAACAGCTTCTAAAAGAGTGAAAAGGATAGTTTGGAAATACACAGCCTTGATGTTGCTCATTTATTCGGCTTTCATCCCCTTCCCTCATCAGATGTTGCTTGCATTTACTTTTTATCAAGCTATGGGTGTCCAGAGAATTCTGAGCAGGATGAGAATTGAATTTCTAATAGGAAGTGGGAAAAGCAAAATGCAAACACCTGAAATAGAGACAGGATGTTTATACTGTGCCTTTCTGTGAATCATAAAGGCAGATTTGTTGGCCCTAGGTAGTGCAAATAACTACAGCAGGATTTGATTTTTTTTTTGTACTATTGGGTTGCTTAATCTTTTAAAATCCTTCATCCTGAAAACATTTCAACTTCCCCACAGGCAACTTTTGACAAAATAGCATAGCATTATAAAAGAACCAAGGATTTAAAATAGCTAATAGCACAATTCAAAGGCAGTCTCTTGGCCATGCTTAGATGGAACTCATTAAAATCAGCTGGACTTAAATTAGCCCATTGACCTAAATTTCATTTAGTTCAGTAGGCCTGATTTAAGTGTGACTTAATCTGGCCTCAATTCAATCAGAATGTCACAAGAACATAGGAAGGATGTTTTATAGCCTATTTTCACTTATAAGTGGAACATGTATGGGACACCTAAGAGCTAGTATGATCTAAGAGCTAATATTGGGCAAGGATTGGTGAGACCCAGGTTGCATTCTAATCTTAGCCATGTAAAGTTACTGGGTGACTTTGAGCCAGTCATCCTCTCTCTGCATAGCATACCTTGCAGGATTGTCATTTTTGAAATCAAATGAAGGGAAGTCTCCATGTCAGCTACCTTAAATTCCTAATTGTTGATATCTGAATGTTTTTTGTTTAAAAAAACTGTATGTGTAATGCTATCATTTTGTACATTCAATATGCCTCCAGTAACTGATCACAGTAATCTGCAAGCCATTTTCCAAAGAAGTCCATTGTAAAATTGTGCTACAGATTCTTGTTTTAGTGCAATTACAATTAGGCTGCATTGTAGAATACAACAGTAATTCACTTTATAATACAATCCTAAGGATACTTTCTCCAAAGAAGGTTAAGCTTCTTCATTAGGATTTACTCCCTGAACAATACACACATAATTGAGAAATGACCAGTTGAATTCAAGACATCTGTTTATATAAAATTTTAATAGTTATTGCTTACCAATTTCAATATTCAGAAGGTAAGTCCCTTTGATTAGTCAATCAAAATAATGCAATTCCTAAGAGTTAATGTCACATTTGAGGGAACTTCAAGGTTTGCAGAACTACAAGCAGAAAGACTAAAGAGATTTTTGATTGAATTTATATATCCAGATCAAAATGGATTTTTACCAAAGGGACAAATAAAGAACAATCTAAGAATGATCTTAGATACTTTGAAATATTACAAAATGTGTCCAGGGAAACAAATGGCATTAATTTTTTTAGATGCACAGAAAGCTTTTGATAATGTCAGCTTAACAATTTATGGTACAACAATTAAGCTATATGGACTTTGGAGAAAACTATAAATATAATTAAAACAATTTACTATAGACAAATGGCCAAAGTAATTGTAAATGGAGATTTTACAGAGAATTTTAATATTAAAAAAGGCACAAGATAAGGGTGTCCACTATCTTTATTATTTTTTATTTTAACTCTGGAAGTGCTGAATAGAAATGTTAGACAGGATCCAGAAATTAAAGGTATGGAGATAAAAGATGAAAAATATAAATTGCAGGCATTTGTGGACGATTTGGTATTTATTTTAGAGGATACCTTGGAGACAAGCCCTAAATTATTGACAAAGATTGAAAAATTTGGAGAAGTAGCAGGATTGAAAATAAATAGAGATAAGACTAAAGTGATAGTTAAAAATCTTACAGATAGACAAAAAAAATCAATTGTCAGAAAAAACAGATCTCCAGATAGTTAAGAAAGTTAAATACCTGGGGATATACTTAACGGCAAGGTGTACAACATTAAAAGAAGATAATTATGCTAAACTATTAAAACAAATAAAAGCAGATTTGGAAAGATGGAAGAATTTACAATTATCAATCTTGAGAAGAATAGTGACAGTGAAAATGAATATTTTATCAAAACTACTTTTCCTGTTCCAAACAATACCTATAAAATTAGAGATTTTTTTTTTTTTGATGAGTTAAATGCATTGATTTTGAAATTCATCTGGCAAGGGAAAAAAGCCAGAAAAAGACTGAAATTGCTACAAGAAGCAAAAGAAAATGGAGGATTTGGGCTACCAGACTGGGTTCTATACTATCAAGCAGCGGCATTAAAGAGTGGATAACCCTTAGACACAAAAGACTACTATACCTAGAAAGACATCACCTACAATTTGGATGGCATGCCTTTCTATGGTATTGGAAGAAAAAAAATCCATAAATACTTTCAAAATCATTATATAAGAAATGCCTTGCTTTTGACATGGGAAAAGATAAAAATGAAAATTTATATGAAAATACCAGGATGGATCTCGACAATGGAAACGTTTGTGCACCCAAATTTAATCAACTATGAGAAACTTGTGACATTTTGAATACTGATGGGAAATTACAAACTAAAAAAGAACTGGAAGAACAGGGTATTGAGCTGTCATGATGGCCACACTTGCAAATGCAAATGAGATACAAAAAAGATGCTAAAACATATGGTTTTTATAAAGATCAAACAGTGTTTGGCCAGATGCTATTGTCATCAGATGAAAAACTGATTAAGAAACTCTATACATTTTGGGTTAAACCTGAAGATGGAAGATGAACAAGTTAAAGAAACAATGATAAGTTGGGCAAAAAAAATTGGACACAATGTAGAATTAGAAAAATGTTAAAACTTGTGGGAAAGAAAGTATAAAATAATAAGGGCAGCTAATTATAAAGAAAATCAATATAAAATGTTTTATAGATGGTATCTACCACGTGCAAGATTAACAAAAATGTTTAAAAACATGTCTAGTAATTGTTAGAAATGTAGGCAAAAGCCAGGCACATACTATCACTTTTGGTGGACATGCCTTAAAGCAAAAAATTTTTGGTCAAAAATACACATGTGGTTTCAGAAAATATTAAAAAAACATGTAGATTTTAAGCCAGAATTATTTCTTCTAGGTATAATTACAGAGAACTATGACAAAAAGGTATATATTTAATGTTACATGTATTAACAGCAGCAAGAATTGCATTTGCACAATATTGGAAAAACGAAGAAACACCATCAGAAGAAGACATAATTAGGAAAATTTTGGATTGTGCAGAAATGGTTAGACTTACATTGAAAATGAAAGGGGAAGAAGATACAGAATATTTGCAAACATGGGATAATTTCTATAAATGGCTGGAAAAATGGAGTAGAGAGTACAAATGGAAGTTGTATTACTATTAATGTTAAATATGTGAACCCAGACAACACTTTGTTTATTAAGCACTAAAGATTTATAACTATAAAAACTTAATGAAATATTTATTTTAAAAAAATATTTGCAGAACTACAGGGCTATGTAAAAAGGAAGAAGAAAAACTCACCAAAAAGTAAACATTAGATCACTCTCAATATACTTCTTTGAAAGCTTGAAATAATATGTAGGAAATGAATAAAGTAAATTTGTGAATAACTTAAAATATATGAAATCGCAATAGTAGTAACAATAATTTCATTCATTTTTATTTTTTCTTATTAATTTAAGTGTATGTTTATTCAGAAAATTTGTAACCTATTTTTCATTGATAGCAGAATCCAAAGCATGAATAAACTTTGAGCTGTGGTGGCACAGTGGTTAGAATGCAGTATTGCAGGCTAGCTCTGCATTCCACTGCCAGGAGTTCAATCCTGACCAGATCAGGGTTGACTCAGCCTTCCAGCCTTCTGAGGTTGGTAAAATGAGGACCCAGATTGTTGGCGGGGCAACATGCAGACTCTAAACTATTTTGAGAGTGCTGTAAAGCACTATGAAGTGGTATATAAGTTTAAGTGCTATTGCTATTTAAATATAATGAAATATTATCTAGTTTATTTAAATCCTAAAGCTATTAAAACCTGTAACATATGATGGACATTCTAATATAAAGATCATCAATAGCAAAACATGATGATGATGATGATGATGACGATGATGATGACGATGATGGCAATACAGTTACAACATGGTACTCTCCATGGTACTGAATTAGACCAATAGGAGAAGCCATCAGTCATTTGTCAGATTCACCAACTGAATTAAAAATACTCAATGGCTCAGAGAATTTCCATCTTCAATGTACTGAGTGTTATACTGAGTCAGTGTTGAATCATAACAACTATACAGATAGATTTTCATGATGAGAGATCATGGTTGGTTGTTTGCAGAAAGGTATAGTATTTGGGCTGCAAAAATTCAGTCTCTAATTAAACTGCAACAAACAGAGTGGTCCATATCTCTTTGTCAGATTACTGCAGCCAAGATACTGGCTATTCTTGAAGCCATACTTTGTTGTTTGAGAGTGCACTGAAAAACACTGATACAAACTTGTACAGATGAATTATTGTTTCTTTTTTTTTTTTAGCACAACTTTAGAGTAATTGGAGCCAGAGATAGTTTCTTTGGGGACTAGTTGATTATCTCTGATCCAAGTTTTTAAGTTTTTAAGAAGAGACTGGACAGCCACTTGTCCGAAATGGTGTAGGGTTTCCTGCCCGAGCGGGGGTTGGACTAGATGACCTCCAAGGTCCCTTCCAACTTTACTAACATGAACATAAGTCTGAGTTTTTAGCTTTGTCAAAATGAGCTTGAACACATGCTATTACTTAGCCTTTCCCTCCAGGATTGGGAGTGGGAATGGGGTCACAAACGTAAATGTCTATGGAGTGAGGGAGTTACATATCTGATGTTGATGGGCATATTTCTCCTATTTGCAGCGGATTGTGAATCTGATCCTCCTGACTCGGTGTATTTGCCAGCTGAATTAAAAGTACTCAATGGCTCAGAATATTTCCGTCTTCAGCGTACTGACCGTTACTCACCAGGAAATGCTTCCTTCAGCTCTCGCTCAGAGACATTCCTCTTCCTTCATCGTCGACTTGCAGGAAAACCCAGTATCCAGGCTACCTACCTTCCTTTCACTACCCAGCAGGTAAATTAGCCTTATAATTGTTTAGAGATATGCTTCAATATAAAATGGAAAGCACAACCCTTGAGTCATATTTAGAACTTTAGAAACATACAATGGAAACTCACATAAAATGTCCACCATGTGGCCCAAACTGGTGACTTTGTGTTTTGTTACACCCTCTTTTCAGGATTCTCCCAACAGGAGAGGGGAGGGGAGGCAAAGGAGAAAATGTTAAAACATGATTTACAACAAAAATGTAAATTTGGTGGGACTTATGTGATATTACAATGTAATATTTTGACATTCTGATGTCCCTGTGGTTAGGAATGGACACCATTGATGTCACAATCATAGCACAGTGGTTAGAATGCAGTATTGCAGGCTAACTCTACCCACAATCTGGAGTTCGATCCAGACAGGGCTTAAGATGGACTCAGCCTTCCATCCTTCCAAAGTCAGTAAAATGAGGACCCAGATTGTTGGGGGCAATATACTGACATTGTAAAGTGCTCAGAGAGGACTGTAAAGGACTATGGGGTGGTACATAAGTCTAAGTGCTATGGCTGTTGCTAATTTCTTCTGCTTAGTTTTATCTTTTTAAAAATAAATGTTGCTTTTAACAACACAAAAATTTGCAGCCATTGTATTGTATTTCTTTTCTAAAAATGCTTATAGCATCCACATCGGATCCAGTCTCATGCTTGTGAAGTAGAATGATGCTAGAGGCTGCCACTTGGCTTTGTAACTGGCTAGCTTACTATTTATATGTTGTTTAAAAAAAAACGGGGCAGGAAACATTGATAGTTACCAAGTAAGTACCCAAGGGCAACACACTGAAGATTCCCTGTGTAAGAAATGGAATAGGGCTGAATTCCATTCTTCCCTGGATTTATTCAATGAGATTCTATTCTGAATTCAGATTTCCTTTTCTCTCCAGGAATTTCCAACAGATAATTCCCAGTTCACAGGTTTCTCTACTACCTGGGACATCCGTGCTGTATCCATTGAAGGCACAGTATCTCCTTATGAGCCCTACGCTCGTGTTCTTTTTCACCTCCAAGGGCAGGATTGGATGTCAAAACGACACCCCCTGCCTTGCGTCAGCCTGCATGTCTTCCATCAGGCCCAGGCTGTGCATCGGGCCTGCCACCTTCAGGTAGGTAGAGTACCTGAGAGTATGTTTACACTCTCACAAATTGTGGAGAAATTAAGTATATGGCTCTTGGATGCCGTGGAAAATAAAGCTCTGCGGTGGCTGTTTGGCTGCATTCTGTTGAAGACAGTGGAAGTAAATATGTGGAAGTAAGGAAAAATTATGAGGTGCAAGTTGCTTGGAGGTTCTAAGAGATCTGGACAAACGCCTATGTGATAATTTAATTTTACAAGCCTCTGATATGATCTTCATGGTAAAGAGCCATGCAATTAATCCCAGGATCCATGATTCTAGAGCAGAAAAGGTCAATATTTAAGTATTAAATATTAACAAGTAGTTAAATCTTAAATAATAGTATTCTTCTTGTAAACCTCACTTAAAACAGAAGTAGAATTCAAAGCACCTGACTGGTCTGCAGCATACCTTTCTTTTCTCAGATATATTTGTCCTTCTAAACCTTTTTAATACTGCGACCCCCAACTGGTCGTAAGTCGAGAACTACTCAACCAGTCGTAAGTCGAGGACTACTCAACTGGTGCAGCACCGTTTGCAGAATGGGACTTTTGACGGGCTCAGCAGGGCAGAGACAGCCTGGACAATTCCTATTGGCTTTTGAAAGCCAATAGAATTAGACTCTATTCAAGAGAGTCTATTCTATTGGCTTTCAAAAGCCAATAGAATAAAAGGGAGTAGCACAGCTAAGGAAAAGGGGGGGAAATGGCGGGCTGCGTTGTTTGGCGACCCCCGTGAAATGGTTGTTCAACCCCAAATGGGGTCCTGCCCCACAGGTTGAGAACCACTGTTCTAAATCCTCCCACCCCTCACCCACAAATGCCACGAAGGAGAAGGCATGGAGTAATTGCTCCTTTTTTCATCTTACATAAAATGCCTTTCTTTGGGCAAGAAAATTGATTCCAAGCTTAGTGCTGGGATATTTATGCTAGGGTGTATATAATAACAAGTGCCAATTTTTGATGCAGAATCTTTGCTGTTTGTTATGTGCTGATCTCATTGTCCTGAGCATCACTAAAGCTGGTCCTTCATTTCTGACCATTCATTTAACAACCATTACAACAACATTGAAAAAAAGTGACATTGACCAGTCTTTGCACTTGCAGAGGTTGCAGCATCCCTGAAGGTCATGTCATCAAAATTTGGGCTCTTGGCAACTGGCATATATTTACGACTGTTGCAGCATCCTGAGGTCATATGGTCACCATTTGCAACCTTCCCAGGGAGCTTCCAACAAACAAAGTCAGTGGGAGATGCTGAAATCATTTAACTGCAGCAAAAAAGGTCATAAAATGAGGCACAACTTATTTAACAATTGTATTGCTTAATGATAGAAGTTCTGGTCTGAATTGTGGTTGTAAGTTGAGGACTGTTGGAACTCCAAAATGTGAAAAAGAGGAGAGGAGAACAAGAGAATTGTCACTAAAGTGGTAAGACAAATGCTTTCAGAAATCAGTAGATAATTGGGGCAGAGACCACAACTAAGCAGTAAAGCACATATGTCATGTATTTACTCATCATTAATTGGTTCTGGGGGGCATGATGAGTACCAAACAAATTTTTTCCATAAGAAATAATGTAGTGAGTCACAAGGCAGCCAAACTGACAAGTTCTAGCTTGTGCGTTGAGTACCAAACAAACAATAAGTATTGGGACAAAATTTTTGCATCAAAACATGTTGAATACCAAACTTGATGAGTTTCAAAGCACTTGAGTACCAAGGAATCAACTGTACAAGGTTTCAAGTTTGATCCAGCTATTGCAGTCATTAGTGAAAATGTGAGAAAGCTGTGTGTGTGTATGTATGTGTGTGTGTGTGTGTGTGAGAGAGAGAGAGAGAGAGAGAGAGAGAGAGAGAGAGAGAGAGAGAGAGAGAGAGAGAGAGAGAGAGAGAGAGAGAGAGAGAGAGAGAGAGAGAGAGAGAGAGAGAGAGAGAGAGAGAGAGAGATTGGCCTCAGTAGGTGGAATTAGGCAAGATAGACCAGGCCATTACACTGTATAAACTTTGCATAGCTTGAGGGTGAGCTTTACAATGAGTCAATAGCATGTGAGTTTCTCTTTTTTCCTATCTAGGCTCCCCTGGGCATGTGTGTGGTGGAACTAGAACTTCCCCCTCGCTGGTTCTCTCCTCCACTTGGCACTCTTCATCGCAGATCAGAGGATTCAGTCACCCCAACTCTAAGAGCAGAGTTGTACTATAGGTTGGAGGCCACTCTACCCGGGAAAGTACACAGAGAGTGTCCCCATGTGCAAACCCAGCAGAGGCCGCATCCGGGTACAGAAAGCCCCAAAGAGCAGCTGCACTATGTGGGCCCTGTGGATATCAGAGTGATGAGCCCTCCACGGCGGCAGGAAGTGCGGTTGGATGACAATGTGATGGTCCGAGTACCTGACACAGCCCTGCGCCCAGGACAGCTTTTCACTGCCACTCTTATTCTGCAACAGAACTTCACAGCTGATCTGCTGACTCTCCGGTGAGTGACAGTTGCCATGCACTTATCCGAATGGCAACAAATTTTGAATTCAAAAGTCATTTCAGTCACAGTGAACACAATCTTGACAAATAATCATAATTGTGAACAATTAAGTATCATATTGTTTTCAACTGTTTCAAGTTCATTGCACACATTTCTTACTTGTGAAATATACAATGACTCTGAGCTCCTATATTATTTAGCCAACTCCTGTAGGTGAGATTGAAGATGTGAGAGAGTGGGTTGCCTGATTAGTTCATGGCAGAGCTGAGATTTACAGCGGCCTGTGGATTTCTTGATGCCCATTTACTCTCTGAGTTCTCTTAGCCAGGTTTTCATCTCTTCCAAAGATGCTCATCCTTTGAAGACTTCTCTTTGCTCATCCTAACTTTACCACCGAGGCTGTCTACTCTAGAATCTAGATGGTCTTTACTTCTCTCTCTGTATATCTTATTTTTTACTTGTCATTCCTTTCAGAATCAAGGTAAAAAAAGGGTTACAGGTTCTGGCTGCTCGCCCCACCAGACCAGAGGCTTGGACGGCAAAGCTGGACAAGTTCAAGAGTGCCAAACACCACACGGCTTTGATCACTTGTCGTCGTTCTTCTGGCAGTGGGTTGGACTGGAAGTAAGTAGCCTTTGAGGCTCATAATTGTTTCTACAGAACTGCTTGGTTCACCTTGGGATGAGGCATCAGGCAGCACCTCTGAACAGATTGTACTATAATGCATTAGGTGTTTTTCTTTTGAAAGGAAAACTTGCCCTTATCTACATATACCTATGAAGAAAGCACTGAATTAGGACTCCAGTTACTCTGTCTCACCCCATTCCTTGTAAAAGGACAATTCACTTTTTGCTTGAAGGGAAGTTGAATACTGCATCCCTTATGCTGGCTGAGGAATTCTGGGAGTTGAAGTCTACAAGTCATAAAAGGCCCAGGTTTGAAGACCCCTGGGGTAGATACAATCATGGGGGGGGGGGAGGATGAGAAGATAGTTCTTCCCAAAATCCAGCCAATTATATTGAATCTAGAATCATGCTTCCTCCCAGCACCATTCTGTATTTGTTAATATCAGTTCTCAATTCAATTTAATGAAAGAGAATTTGCTTGAGAAATTCTTCTCAAGGAATTGAGCATTTGAGAGAACTACTCAGGCCTAGAATGTCATGTTCTTGATAGTGATAAAGAGATACATCATGAGAGAGACTGTCCCTTCTTTCATTGTACACTTGCCTCTTCAGAGGTCTATAACCTCTCTGGCTTCTCATACTTCCACCAAATTTCAAGAAAAGAGATTCTGGAGGATCTTCTCTCATTAGGCTTTTTCCAACTGGAAAGTGAAGACAACCTGGGAGGCTTCAGAGTGAGGGGGAGATTCAACACAGGAGCCAAGGGTAGCACTGGCACCTTGTACCATTTTCCAAAATAGAATGAGCTCAACAACAGTATCTAAGAGTAAGGTTCAAAACAAAGCAAAATCAGAGATCTATTTTACAGGGAACTAACATCTGAGATAAAAAATGCAACTTCAGTTATGAAAATCATCATTATTGTCATCTTTAATTAGTACTAAAAAGTCTGGCCAAATATCTGCATTATACTATGTTAACATTTATTGATTGATAAACAAAGAAGAGTAGGTAGGCCCAGAGATGTAACTGAAATAGTTCAGCCCTTAAGTCTTTTGTAGGAATTGGGGAGGGGGAATTTTTTTACAAAAGGAGATGTTCTGCTGAAAATTGTGGCTTTGCCATCAAATTTTAGTCCTGCAGTCTCAGAGTACTCTCAGAGTCATAAAGTGGAGAGAGGCTCACACAATCCTTAGGCCACAGATTGCTCATCCCTGAGGCAGGAAATAGGAAAGACATGGAATGCTTGTTAGAGGCATTTGGGTGATTCTGGCACCATCCTTGAATCCTATTATGGAAAAATAGGACAAGAATGGTTGGTTGAGCATAGATCTTGGAAGCATTTCAAACAGCATCTACTCTGTATTTCTTTGCATCGATCATGCTTCAGAGCAGAAAAGATATCAGAAATTGATTTAATAGTGTTGAGTTTCTGGGTTAATAGATAGATAACCTTTATTGTCATTGTCGTAATAGGCTAGGGGCTAATTATTCTGATGTTTCACCAGCAGCTGTGGCTGGCATCTTCAGAGGTGAAAGTGATCTTTTATACTACCACATTTCTTGGTAGCTCAAACTAACTGAGCTCTTGTGTTTGCACCAGAACTAATTTCTAACTGGACTATGTCATTGGTATTCTGGAAAGCCAGTTTCTGATTGGGTTTTTATCCAGAGGAAAATGTCCGATTTGAGGAAGTTTCAGAGGAACTCATTTTTTCATTGGTCTTTGAAACACGCTGCTGTTTATTACCGTATATTCCAGATGAGACTGCTGTAAAGTTTATATGGTGTTGGTTAATTAAGGGAAGTTTTATTTTGGTATGATGTAAAGCTGGAAACCAGGCTTTGTTAACTGTCTTGTTCAAGTTATTGGGAAGTTTATACATTTCAATAGCTTTTCTAAGTAGTCATGCTTGATGATTTGACAAGATTGCTAGTACTTTTGTGTCTTTAAACTGAATATTGTGCCCATTATGTAGCTGCAGATGTTCAGCTGCCATAAAATTTTCATTTTTTTCTAGTCAGCAATATGAGAAATACCTTTTGAAAGTCTGAATGGGTCAGTTTTTTGAACCAGAGAGTGCTATTCAGTTCTTTCGGCTCCATGGTGATCAAGATAAGTGAGGTGGACATATTATTGTTCCAGATGTTCTGTCGTCTCCTCAGTTTTCCCTGGGTTCTCTGATCTCTTGAGTGTTGACTTCTAACCTCTCCATTTAGGGTAGCAGATTCTCCAGAGTTCCTATATTTGGATTTTCTTGTGGAGAATGGTACAGGTGCTCTGGCCGCTACACGCCCTGTTACCTGGCAAGTGGAGTACCCTGGCCAGGATCCTGAGGCTGAGAAGGACAAGATGGTGTGGGAGATCCAAGTATCAGAGAGAGATGTGCGGGCCTTGGTTCCATTAGTAAAGGTAAGGCCTGAAAATTGGTGTTCTTCTTCTCATGGATAACTGGTAGCACTGGATCCTTACACAATTCCCTTGACTCTCTCCAGGAGCAGGAAATTGTGAACACTGCACTCCTCACAGGAATCCCCCAGTCTGTGCCCGTGAGGCTGGTTGTGGTTGAAACAGGAGGAGATGTATCGGAAGTAACACAGCAGATGGGATGTGAATCCTCTAATAAGCAAGTCCTTCAGGTGAGAAACAAATACTGTCATAAAGGGTGTTCTTCTGGAGCAACACTTATTAAGACTGCAGTCTTCTTCTCTGATTGCCAAATTATGTCTCAAATGAGAGTCGGAGTCAGGGTTATAACCCATGCTTAATCACTTCAGTTACATTTTTAGGGTTGCATCCTCACAACAAGTTAGACTTAGTTTTAATCATAGTTAATATTTGTAATTTAGGATGTTAGCAAATTCAGCTGATTCAGTTAGTTTATGACTTAGTTTGTTGTGCAAACAGAGAGATTAGTAATCAAGTACAAACTTAGCTGGAATTCCCATTCCAAATCAGATAGCCTATTTGTGTTCCTTTATATTTCCAATTGTCTACTGTGTTTGTGGAAAAAACAGACCCTACATTATTACCTGGAATGCTTTGAAATCTTGGTTCCTTAATCCATGCGGCTTCTTCTTGATGACACTTCCCCTTAATTTACCCTTTCTCTTCATACATTTTAAGACTTGGCATTCTACTGATCTAGCAAACTCATGCTATATTTTTAGACTGCTCCCATCAGTGGCTACAACTTAGTCTTTGTCCACATCAAATGTTCTTCCTCCATGTTTTCATGCATATACCATTTCTATGAGAAATATAGAATGAAGCAGAGCAATGTTGAAGCTCATGAAAAATAATTATACTTGTATATCCAATGGTAATGGGAGGCTTCCCTCATTTTCTGTGGAGTTTACAATTTTTTTCTTTATATCACCCAAAAGGACTCAATCTCCCACTGATAGAGTATAAGAACTCACAACAATTTCCAATTATGGTTCCATCTTGAATTATTCTAGAGGAAAAGAAAACAGAGAAATCCATACTGGGTTAAGGAATCAGTGTGGGCATTCTTGCTTTCTTCTAACACTTCCTTAGGCCTTTGGATGTACATCTATGGACCTGAATGTATTTTCTAATTCACCTGTAGGTATCAGATGTATGTGATGCTGTCTATGTAGGAGGAAAAGAGAGCCGAGGGGCACGGGGTGTACGGGTGGATTTCTGGCACCGTCGTCTGCATGCATCATTACTCTTTACTGTCTGGGCTCCACTTCTACCTTTGCGTATTGAGCTAACTGATACCTCTTTGGAGCAAATACGAGGCTGGAGGGTGTCTGGCCCAGTGTCTGAGAGGTAAGTGTTATGATTCCAGGAGAGTCACTAACAATGAGTTGAAGGTGTGGCATCCTTCCTCAACTTAACTCCCTGTAGATGTTTTGAGAGTACAATTTCTAGATTCTCTACCACCAAGGCCAATGCTGATACAGAATATTGTGAGCTGTGATCCCCAACTCATCCAGAGGATGTTAAATTGAGGAAAACTGCCTTATGCTTCGTAAATGGGCTAAGTCCTTGCATTTTCTTCTCTGAACAGTCCAGCAGAACCAGAAGAGGGTGGAGAAGAAGCTGAGAGGAGAGCACGTGGCTGTCGGCTCCAATACCAGCGTGCAGGGGTCCGTTTCCTTACCCATTTTGTGGCTCACCCTCTAGAGGGTGGACGTCACCTGACCTATATGCCAAACTCTGATTGGCTGCTGGATGTTTCGCATCTGGTGCAGAAGCATGCTAGAATCCAAGACCCTCGAATAGCAACACTGGAAAGTGGGAAAGTGGTGGTTGGCCGTGAAATAGGAATAACCTCTGTGGAGGTAAGGAGCATGTGAGAAAAAATGGGGGCTGTGGGGTTCCTTGCTGAGTTGGGATGAAATGAGATGAGAAGCTTGCTTAGAGCATGATGATAGTTGTTCAAAGGGATGAACCAGATGCTGTGCACAGGCTGTTGGATGTTACTTTTGTCTCCGGTTTGGGGAAATGGTGGGATGATATAGTGGGTGTGGTTATGAAGAAAGAGGGATGTGACAGCTTTACAAGCAATCTATGAAAGATACTGTACATTGTAAGCATCTCTACTGACTCTATTTGTCTATCTACCTATCTATCTCCTGCCTGCCTGCCTGCCTGCCTGCCTGCCTGCCTATCATCTATCTATCTATCTATCTATCTATCTATCTATCTATCTATCTATCTATCTATCTATCTATCTATCATCTGTCATCTATCTATCAGTCACTGAGGGGAACTCACTCTCCCTATTTGGTCACTTGGCTGGCAAATTAACCATTCAATTAACCATGACTTGATGTTGAGATGGATGAGAAGAGACATTGCAAAGAATACAGCTTCTGTGCAAAGTCTTCTTATGAAATAACAATATATTCCCTATTTTTCTTCAGGTGCGTTCTCCTGTTTCCGATTCTATCCTGGGGGAACAGACTCTGGTGGTGTCAGAAGAGAAAGTCTCAGTTTCAGAGCTGCAGGCCCAGCTGGTATCAGGTCTATCATTGACAGTGTTTCCAGAACCAGGACATCCAAATGTTTTCACTGCAATGTGCCAGGGTCTTTCTGCTCTGCATTCCCTGAAACAGGTGAAGAATTTTTCTAGCCATTCACAACATTATGAATTTAACTTTCCATCCTTCTGTGTCACAGAAGCACTAAATTGCATTTTGAGGGTTCATATCACTTAAGCTAAAGTTAGACTTGATAGAAATGTCATGTTATAATTATCCTCAAATATAGAATCCGTGTGTCTTGTCCTCTCCAAGATTTGCAAAATCTGTTTTATTTGGGTGGTATGACAAGGGATCACTGTATGGTGAGTTTTCTTGCCGTGATGTGCAGCAGTCAAAGAAGAGGGATAGAAATTTGGTAAAAGGGAAGGTGCTTCATTGAGTTGGGTGGCATGATTTACATCTGCTACCAATATGGATAATGATGCCTCTGTTGGTCAACTTGCCCAACCCACCATTACTATTTTAAGGCAACTTGAGATCCCAGTTTTTTTTTTCCTGCAGGAAGCAGTTCTGAGCATCTGGTTGGTATTCAGTGATCACACCTTGGTTCCAGTAGAGCTTTATGGCCGGCGGGATGCATCTGTCTTGTTTTCTTCCTTGAATCCTGATGTAGTATCAGTGCGGCTGGAAGAGGAACATGCTTACCCAGTGATCATTGCTGAAGGCCCAGGCCAGGGGTCCCTCCTGCAGCTCAGCCTACATTCCCCAGACTCTTGCCGCAAGGGGAAACATAAGGCTCCCCTTTCCCAGGGGACAGCATGGCTGGAAGTGAACTTTGGCTGGCACCTCCTGACCACTAAGAGCCCACAGCAAGAAGATCTCCATCTACATGGTAAGGCCCCCTTTCGGCGAACAGAAGGTGCCATGTCAGGTGAAGCAGTGACCGTTGCAGCTATCACAGAGAATGGCAGAGGTTCAAGAAGGCGTGGCCCAGTAGCACGAGAGCCGCCGATGACCAAATTTGAGGGAGCTGGGGTTAGCTCCTATGAGGATATTGAACAAGTGGAAGAAGTGGAGGAAGATGAGATGGTGAAGGCACCTGCAAGGGTGACAGATCTAGAGATTGGAATGTATGTCCTCCTGGGAGTTTTCTGTCTGGCCATCTTTATCTTCCTCGTCAACTGTGTGGTCTTTGTCCTTCGTTACCAGCGCAAGGAACCTCCTGATGCTGGATCAGGTCCAGCCTCTTCTGCCCAGCAGCCTCACAATTGGGTCTGGCTAGGCACTGATCAGGAGGATCTTAGTCGGCAGCTGGATCTGTGCAAGCAACACTGCAAAGACCAGCCTCGGGGCCCTTCTAGTACCAACGAGGGGTACTCTTGCTGTGCAGGGCCAGAAGGAACTTTGGAAGCTTTGGCCTCAGAGGCCCCAGCTCCATTACCAGAGCCAGAAACAGGGGTCTCTGCTAATAATTTGGGCCTGACTGCATCAGGGAACCCAGCACTGACCAGCACCTTGTCCAGGAAGAAAGAGGGCAGGGATGTGGGTGGCCGGCGGAAACGTGTAGAATTTGTGACCTTTGCTTCACCATCTATCTCTGCTCCAAGCCCCCCTGTTTCTGGACCAGTAGTTCAGTCCATCCTGGTAGCCAGCGAAGACGACATTCGTTGGGTGTGTGAGGACATGGGGCTGCATGATCCAGATGAGCTGCGCAGCTACATGGAAAGGATTCGAGGTAGCTCCTGATCTGCCCTAGCCCATTCGTATGGGCAAACCAATAAGATGGTCATCCCCTTAGATGCTCTCCTAGGATCAGTCAGCTGAACTCTCTACCTGCTTCTTTTTAAATAAGGGCTCTCCACAATAGTACACCAGCCTTGGACTAGTTTGTGAGGAGAAAATGAGCCAGAGATATTTCTGCTGCTCTCTGTGTTTGAGTCCCACTTCCTTGGCTGTGTTATCCTTTTCATTCTGGTTAGAGGCATTCTCTCCACCTATTATTCTCTCAGGAGAACTAGCACATTCCTCCTGGGAAGAGAGCCCATGTGTGCTCATTGCTTCTCCCTCTACCCCCTAAAAAAACTTTTAGTAGGTGTGGATGAGGAGTTTGCAGACTGGAAAGTAGCTGAGAGGTAGGCTGGCTGCAATGTACTGTGGAGGTGATCTAGGGGGCTGATCCAAGATCTCACATATTACGTTGACCCTCATTGCCAGTGTGTGTCCATTGTGATGATATGAACAACGAGTGTCTTTCTGTCCTTCCTGTGGTCTGAGCCTGGGGCTCTGCCCCTCCCCCCTCCCCCCTGACCCCTCCCCTAAAGCTGGGCAAGGACAGAGCTCCAGGGAGCACTGGCTGGGCCTTTTCCACCCTGGTTGTGTGCCTGGTGTCCTTAAGAGTTTTTGTACAATCGCTCATATTTTATACCGTACTATTGGGAGGCTGCCAGGCAAGTCCTTTATTTATGGAAGATTTTTAATTCTTACATTGTTAAAAAAAAAAGTAAAATAAATAATAACTAAAAATGAAAGGTGTGTCATTTTTGTGCAGTCTGATTTATTTGTGTTTCCTTGGTAATAGAGAAGTAGTCATCTCTGCTGTAGGGATTAAATCCAAACACCTAACAATTCCTTTAATTTTGAATGTTTGTGGACTTGATCCTAGCCTAGGGCCAGTGTATCATCCCTGTTGCAATTCAAGAGATCTTCTGAATAGCTTGACTTCACTTAAACTTTCTTTATGAGAAGCTATTTGAAACTATAAATACAGATAATTCTTAATTTACAACCATTCTTTTAGCTACTCTTCAATTTACAATAGCATTGAAAAAAGTGATTTATGACTGGTTCTCACACGCTTACAACTCTTATAGCATCCCCAGGCTCACTTGATCAAAATCTGAGCATTTGGCAATTGGCATGTACCTATGATGGTTGCTTTATGCCAAGGTCATGTGATCACTTGTGAATTTCCCAGCAAGCTTCCAACAAGCAAACCCAATGGAGAAAGCCAGATTTGCTAATTGAGTGTGACTCATTTAACAACCACTTTGCATAGCAAAGAGAAATTCTGGTACAAATTTGAGGACTATCTGTAGTATAAAATTAGTTCCTAGCAAAGAACTCTCTATATCAGTGTTTCTCAACTTCATCTACTTTAAGATGCATCCCAAGGCAGGGTTGGCCAGGGAATTCTGGAAATTGAAGTCCATGCATCTTAAAATGGTGGAGGTTGAGAAACATTGCTGTATCTATTAGTTATTTACCAAACTTTGCAACTAGGAGGCAGCTTATAGAAAAGGAAAACACAGAGATAGATTTATGACATGTATTAACAGGCTCTGGTAGGTGGTGGGGAATGAGAATTGCTGAATCAACTTCATGCAGGGTGTAGCATCTAACTAAATAATAGCGCTCAATAAAACTGAGGGCAATAACATATTAGGTGATATAGCTGGTGTTTAAATCACATGACTGATGTATGTTTGGTTGCTGCTTTCCTAAGCTTACTAGCAGTTGCACCAGTTCTCCTCCGGCTGCAGTGACAACTTCCAGGTTCACTATTCGGTCCTTGTACTTTTTCAATGTGTATCGGCAAGAGACCTTTTGGAAATGTTGCTCTTCACATCCTTCCATGCTATATCTGCTAAAATGTTTATCTTCTATGCAGCAATTTCTAGACTTCCTGCATTCTAAAAATTGTCAGCTCTGTGCAGAGCTCTCCCCAGCTGTCTTAACCAACTTTCTCCTTCCTAGGCCTCCTCAAATAAAATAGTAAACTACAGATCATCAATTGCAATTTTTTTCAGATTAAATTTCATGTCACTGCTAAAATAGCTTTATTTCTCATCAGTCCTATATTCCTGGTTATGTCTAATATTATACAAGTGTGGAGAGTGTACAGGATGGTCTTGAAAGACAGAAGGAAGATCTGTTACTAAGGCAACAATCAGACAAGTGTGGCTTGAATCCAGGCCAAAAAAATGGATTTACAAAAGCACCTCAGACAATTCTCCCAGTCCCTTCTCTGTTCACATGAAGATAGAAGAGGAAAGAAGGGAGGCACAAGATTTTGTTACTGTAGCTATTCTAATAAAAGTAGATTTAGGTCCCATTTGGTATCTGTTTTTAATCTGGTCTACTTTACTGGGCTAACAACTGGTGAACTGTCAAGCATGAAGTTTTATAGAGTTAACATTTGAGTTTTAAAAATTCAAGAGCAAATTGAATGCTTGGAAAACTGGATCTGAAATAAGCAACCCCAATACAGTAAATTTAATGTTCCAATCCAGATCAAAAATCTTAAAAGCACATTCATTCATTCATTCATTTTTCACATTTTTAAACCGTCCATCTCCTTCACTTTTATATTGATTTTAACTACTGCATCTCCTTGGTGGACATTTTTCATACCAATTACTTGGGTCAAATCTCTTTTTCAATTCTGTCTCTGAGATTTTGCAACAATACTTGTAATTTCCATTCTTGCCAAAGGAATAATGGATTTCATATCAATTTCAAACAATTTCCTAAAAGGTTTTTGTTGTTGCTGAAGTTTTAAAGATTTTATACATGAATGCAAGAATGCATTTGTCCAAAATTAAAGCCCCACATGTTTTAACTAGTCACTATGTGCCATTCAGTCACATAACTGTAGCTCCCTTTATACATGTCCATATGCATAATACAATATTTCTGTATTATTCAGATCTCACATCCAATAATACTTGGAAGCAAAGGTACCCATGTCCACAGATGAAGGACAATGCATTATTTATTTAAAGAAATAAATGTTGCTACTGGTAATATGCATCTTTAAAACTGGGGTAGGTTGCTGAAAAAGGAACTTCCAGTACATTCCTATTACATTAACAAAAGTTAGCTATAAATACAAGGTTTTGTTTCATAATTTTGATCCCCATGAAGTCTCCATTTGCAAGACTGATATTTGGCTGTAAAGTATCCAAATTACGTGAATGTCTATGTACAAGTATATACAGCATGTATGTCATTCTCCTTTTTTTAAGTATTTAATTTTGCCTCTGCCAAAAATGGTTCAGCTCAAAGGAGATTGTAAGTACTAAGAGGGGCAAGAACCATTTTCATGGATTAAGAAACGATCTATTTAACTACAGCCTAGCTTCCCCATAACTCCACCATTCATATTCAGTTTCTTCTTAATACTTTGAATAAGAAACTGTAGTTTTTAGTACCCTGATTATCTGCCATTGTTGGTAGTCTTCTGGATTGCTTTCTCAAATTGTCATTAATATAGCCTTCATAACATTTGAATCAGTTAACTTTCTGCAACAGCCATAGCACTGAACACTATGATGAGAGCTGGAGAGCATAGGTGCCTTCTTGCAGTCCTGAAAAATGCTATCAGTTGTTCTCTCAGCTGGTGGGTCGCTGTTGACGCTCATAGCAGATGGAGATGAACATAAAGAGGATGCATGTTACCGCCTGAATCCCACCTAGGAGGAAGAAATAATAATCCATCTGACATTTGTTGATGTTTCCTAGGGAAGAAAGAGAGAGCAAAAGAGCCTTTAGTATACAGCAGAAGAAAGATGTCTTCTTGCATTCTTCAGCCTTCACAGGTCCATAAATCCTTTGTGTACAACAGTCTTTTGACAACACATTTTTAAATAATTTTCTGTAGGTCTTCTCCAGTCTACATGCCATTACCAAAAGATGTTCAATATCGCTGGAGAACAGTGAAAACTCTTTGAATGGCTCCTCCATTCTCCTTAGTGGAGGAAGTTCCCTGGGGCTAAAGCATAAGGAAGATGCTCACCAAAATCTTCTGGGCAGTGCATCCAACCATTGGTTGGCAGGGAGAGCAAACTCAGGAGACCAGATCCTAAAAGAGATCCAACTCCAGAAATGAAGAAGAAAAGACCCATGATTGCTCCTTGCATGGATTTGGGAGCTTCAGAGTAGGCAAACTCCAGCCCTGGAAAAGTAGAAAGAATTTGAAGGATTAGCAAGCTAGAGGAGCACATTTAAAGTAGGTCTGAAGGATAGTTCAAGCTTCTGAAGTCATGGTGAGAAAACTCTGTGTTTTTTCATCTTTTGGTGCAACTAGCTGCACTACATTCAGACCAGGAAATTCTGGCTTAATGCCGATATAAGAACAACAGGGAATAAAACCTTGTTTCCTGGCTTACCCGAAATGCTGGCAAAGATTTCACTGATTCCAATGAGTAAATATTGAGGGATTTGCCAGAAGATGGAGAGTGGGGCTGCAAAGTATTCATCTTTCCCAATTTGTTGTGAGATTGTGTGGTTGTTCTTCACATATTGCAGCCGCTTAGTCTCCAGGAAACCTAGATAGGAGAAAAGCATTTAGATCCAGAATACAATTGTGAAGAACGTAACTCACAGTTGAGGCAGATTTTTAAAAATTAGAAAATAAGTGGTCATTTCTTTGTTATATTAGGTATAAAGTATTTACTATAGATATAAAATACTTACTAGACTACCCATGTCCAATTGGGTTATTGTTTCAGAGATATTTCCTTACCCTAAACAGAAACACAATGAACAAAGGTGGCAAAAAAGCGGTGGAAGCAGGAGGATCTTCCGACATCCTGTCAACTTCCCCTTTGAATTTCCATGTGGGAATCTGGCAGGAAGCATTGGAAATCTCCCCTTCCTTTCCTTTCCTTTCCTTCCCAGCAGACAGATAAGTGACTGCTGCTGGATGGGAGAGGGAGGAAGGGATTGTGAGACTGGCTGGGAAATTGTTACAGAACTTTGAAAATGAAGATCATAGGACTGCAGTAGTATAGCCCAGCAATGCAGCAGCAGCCAGTAGCACTGAAGTAGCCAGAACCTCCCCAAATTTCATTCCCTCTGGAATCACAAGTCTTGGATTTACATTCTGTAAATTAGCCCATTGGAGGTACCTTGGTTCAAAAATTATTGCCCTATGATTCTCCCAGTTAAAAGTCATAACAAGAGTTTTAGTATGTCTAACCAACAGTAGTATATCCTGTTTAAAAAGGAACCACATGAAGCACTTCACACTTTAGGATATTCTACAGCCTGATCATCAGCTCAAGTGCACAGCTTTAATTTGGTCCAGAATTTGTTCTTGTTTCAGTCTATGGTACAATTAATAACCATCTCCATAGCTACAATTTGAAAGTATCCATTTTTTTTTACTTTCTCAAGTGTCCAAATTTCAGAACACATAACACCTTTTGAGAACAACATCAAAACAGACCATTCAAAATTTTAACTGGAAAACCGGATACTCTTTTACTCACATCCCCCACTTAAAACACACAAAGAACTAGAAGAAAAGATTATGCTTGGCAAGGATGAGGGAGATGTAGATTTGGTAAGAGATTAATGGAGTTGAAAGAGATCATTGGAACATCCTCAGAACAGCTCTGGGCTTTCATCAGGACAGGTTGGGATGCCAGGCACTTGAGCATTCAGTCTCTTGCTTGGATGCAACCTATTTTCATGTTTGGTGGACTTGTAAAGTTATTAAAGCCTTCTGGATTATGATTTGGTGGAA